CCCGGGAAGTTTGTGCACTTTTATTGAATCCACATGGTGATTAGGCGAAAGGTGTTAATGAAACATATTAGGGCCATGTACTCCTTGTGCAATGCCAAGTACCACAGTTTACAGCAGGACAGAATCGCCCTTTGTTGTCTGTAGTACAGTGGGAAAAGGTTAAGGCACACCGATTATCATGACTGAGGTCAGTGCTTTGGAGATTTTACTCGCTTCAACTCTTAACACTGTGTATTATCGAGATTCATCGTGTCATCTCCAAACAGCAGCCTTTAAGTCTGTATGCAATGAGGACTAAAGACGGTATCGTGACTTCACGCTTCCGATAAACTCCTAGTAGCTTTTTTCGCAAGTTTAATGCATTGAAGCTAGTTGATCAGATTGCTCCGTAAACAAAATGTGAAAATTTATGGAAGTTTTTTCGAGTGAATATCAAGGGACATAAGTATGTAAACGGGTAAATGATTTTAGCATTCCTGAGTGTATGGCCGCTTCTCAGTATAAATACACAAAAAACCTTCAAGAATGAATCTAGGAACGAACAATCAAAGCCATACAGTGTTTAAACTGCGTTTATTATTGAAAGTCAGATATGAAATGATGAGTAATCTGAAAACCCTCTCCAAAGATTATTTGAAATAGACATTAAATGTGATGCGTTATTACCTAGGAAGGCAAAATCGGCACTCGATGGGAGGAAAATATGCGTGCGCGACATGACTGCATTACCGGTCCGCGGTTACTAGGGTTCGGAATGCCCCTCATCAAGGACAAATTCTTTAACCAGATGAGGCTATGGACTGTAAATGCAGTCTTTCTGTATCTCGAATGACTGCAGTTACAATCTTCAAACTGTTGAGATAAGAGTAGGTCACTGTGATCACCCGCAGTCTGCTTAGAGTTGAACTGAGGAGGGGACATTAAAGGGCCGCATGGATCGTTGAAGCGCGGGGAGCTGCGACCATGATACTCCTACGTGGACCGAACAAATCATCAACAAAATGGTCAACCAATGGGACCCGTCGTGGTCGTTAACTATTCGCTTAGGATCGGAACGACTTAGCACACGGTTAAAAAACGTGGGGTTATGCAAATTAAACGACAATTTCCAACCGAATAGGTGAAGCCTGTAGTATCTACCACTAAACTCCAGGAGGGTTCTCTTTAAAGTCAATGAGTTGAACGTTCGGCAACAAAACGGGTAATACTAATTATAAACTTTTCGAAATAAGAGGATTATGTAGTTTCAATTTAAATACGAATATTAATTCGTTCATCTAAGTTTTAGTGATAAATTATTTCAAAGGAGAACATATATGGAAGGAAAAATAGCAAACGCTTAAATTTAGAGTAAATAATAATCGTTTTTTATTGAAGGCCCCTCGGAGTCACATCAAAGCAAATAAAAAACAAGTAAAGAAACGGGCAAATAAACTTGGAGGAATTACACCTGATCTACTGAATTGAGAGAGCCATTTCGTCCGATGTTGGGGTTGAACTTAGTGCTGAACAGGAAACCATGAACATCTCCGAGTCTAATTACTCCTATAAGCTTAACGTTCGCCAAAAGACATCCCTAAAAATAAAAGTTATCGAATTAGACCGAACGAAGTTTCCTCCTCTAAACATGGTCAGCAGGCTCTACCCTTGCTAAACGATAACGAAATCTTTCTCATCGATGACACTGACAGGCCGAAGTTGTTCAGTGCACTCTTTGCAAAACAACTTACTACTGGATTCGGACCAGTACTTCTCTTACGTTCACTTTCTGATAGGACGCACAGTATAATCAAGGTCTCTACGGACCTAATCAACAAACAAATCAGTAGTTCGAAAGCTCACACTGCTCGTAAACGGACGGGCTCTCAAATGCGATAATTAAACAAGCATCTGACCTACCCATATTGCTTAGTTATTTATTCTCGATCTATATTTCCGCCGGAACCATGTAAGACGTCAATTATCATTCCCATATTTAAGCCTGGATCTCGATCCGATGTTAGTAACTATGGGGGCGTGCTCAGAACATCGTCTATAACAAAACATTTTGAACGGATTAAATTCAGTGAAATTCCTTATTCCTCTCCAGGTTATCAGCATCCGAGCTCTACTCAGCATGGAGTTCTAACTAAAAGATCCTGCGAAACTTGCCACTTGGCCTCTCATAACGTGCAGCTGTCAGCGTTAGTTATCTGCTTTGATCTTAGCAAAGCCCTCGACTCACAGACACCTTTTGGTAAAATTAGAATTCCTCGGCATCTAACCTCCTCTACTCGATTTCATTGATTCTTACTTATCCATCCGTTATCGGAAAGTCGTTGTTGGTTTCGTAAGACAAATAACCACGATTTTGGACCATATTCTTAGCCCTTGCCTGTGCTCGTTCCAGCTGTTGATAATTCTTCTTGAACCCCAGACGCCTGGCCTGGAGGCATACGCGACGGAAACCGAATGAATGTCCTGCAGGTTTTCCCTAGCAGCTACTTGTCGGTCTGAACAAATCCTTGTCTCCGCGCAAATAACACCCGTACGCACACACGGCTGCCCTAGACACTGTAACAATAATTCTAGCGAGATTATTGGGAGGCCGAGGTCTTTTACTCCACAACATTTGAAATGGGCCGCTCACGAAGGGGGTATTGGGAGAAATCATCCTTGTCACTGTTCCTTCTGGTACGAAACTTTAGAACAATACATTTGCTCACATTAAAATTTAGGATCCAACGAGGTGACCAGCTGCCGAGTTGGCTGGAGCTTTCTTGAAGCGCCTGTTTGTCTGTGCCGGATCTGGTGGCTCTCTACGATTCAACATCGTCAGCAAACATGACAGCTTTACAACCCGCGCTGTCGACACGGTCCTTGATATAATACTAATTTTTATTCAAGACCCGTGGAGGTCCTATCATAGCAAGTAAGAAGAACTTTTACATTAATTTTAAAATTTTAGACGAGGCATACAGAATTATTACAATACATAATTCATAGTTATTGAATAAGTAGCATGTTACGCAGAATATCGAGCAAGCAGTGAACGGAGCTTATGCGGCTTCTTGAAGAAAACAACTTGCTCAGTCTGCATCAGAAGGAATTTCGAGGGGGACGATCCTGTCTCACTAACCCGCTAGTATACATGGAGAGCTGGGCGAAATCAATCGACATGGGCTTATCAGTCGACGTCGTGTACATTGACTTCAGAAAGGCTTTTGATAGTGTTCTACAAAGACGACTTATATTTAAACTAAATCAAGTGGGTGTGAGTGGAAATCTCTCGAAATAGTTAGCCGATATTCTTCCGGGCAGATCTCAGCGTGTGTATCGGAAACGCTAAATCGGGATGGGCATCAGTCCACAGTGGAGTTCCGCAGGGGAGTGTTTTGGGTCCAATTCTGTTCTTAATATATGTTAACGACTGTCTGGACTGTCTGAACTGCGAACGAGTAATGTTTGCCGACGATCTCAAATTGTGGAAATCAATAGAGAAGCCGGAAGATTCTGTACAATTACAAGACAATGTGAATCTTTTCTAACAATAGAATCCAATAGAATAGGTTTATTATAGCGTCCCTTGAGAACTGTCAGTCTCCTTTAAACTCAAGAAACTAGTGTGATGAGTGGTGTTTTAGCCTCAATCGTAACAAATGCAAACTCACCCGATTACGACCGAGCAACAGGAGGCCTTTGAGATTTGAATCCCACTACTTTATAGGAAGTCACCAACTCGAATCAGTCAACGAATAATGAGACCTCGGTGTGGGAATGACGTCAACTCTCAAACCATCGTCGCACTGCGCCAAGGTATCAAAAAACCTATGGGTATCCTAGGCGTGATCAGAAGATCCTTCCTCAATCATGACGAAGAACTTTTCGGCCGAGTAATTGGAGCATTCGTTCGACCAGTGTTGGAATATTGTTTTCAGGCATGGTGTCCCTGGATGAAACAAGATTACACCCTACTGGAGAACGTACAACGAACAGCGACCAGGCTAGTCAGCGGACTAAGTAGCCTACCTTATGAGAGACGACTGGAAAAACTAACAATATTTCCTCTCTCTTATAGACAATACAGAGTGGATATGATCATAGCCTTAAGGATGATCCGAGGGCTAGGGTGTGCTCTTCAGTTTGACAATTTCTTCGAACTAGCGCGGACGACAAATCTTCGAGGGCATCAATACAATTGGAAGCTAAAATATGCCAAGCTCGAATAGTGGGCGAAATTCTTCTCCCACCAGCTGGTTGAAGGATGGAACAAATCGCCAAACTCCGTTGTCATAGCGGAAAACGTTGAGACCTTCAAAAGAAGACTAAATAAATTTATGCTTGATGGTCAACCATTTACATGACACCAATGACTGAAATTACTGCTATGTAAATATCTGCATGTTTTTATTTCATAAGTCTATCTGTAAATAGGCTTTTCCAAGGCACTTCCTATATCCCCCATATATACTAAATTATAAGGCGGAAAATGCGCGGAATCGTTGACCTTAGTCTTTATTTCCATTCCTTGGTCCAGTCGCTGTCCGCTTAATCACTTTTTTGGCTCGGGGAATGGGCGCAGTAGTTGACAGAGCTAGATAGCTTGTCTGCGCCCGCCGCATGAACGACGTTGACCAAAGTCACTTTTGAGAAATTAGCATTCCAATGTAAGTAAAGTGCGAGGACATGTATAAGGGGTCTGGTCTGAAATATATCACGTTGTAGATCTCATTTAATCAACAAACCGAGTTCATGTGCCTCTTAATTCTGTTAACGCATGACACTTTGTTTTCATCTGTACAATTTTTGTTATTACCTTGTATTTCTTTTATGTTACTCCCTTTCCATTTTCTTCATATACTTCCTCTGCATGTAGCCATTAGGCATGTCAAAGGTACACATCTAATTTCCCTGAAATACATTGATACACTGATACTTATACGTTGTAGCTGTGGTGACTTTTAATATGCTAAATATACCAACTGTTCTGAGCCAACTTTTAACGCTGTTCGTCCGGCGCGATGTCTGGAGATTCGACTGTGATGGTAAGGGGTGTGCCGATTGCATTAACCGTAAAGACTTTTGAGGAAGCCGCTGAAACTGTTAAAAAATTGGCTAAAGAACCCTCACAAGATGAACTCCTTGCACTCTACAGCCTTTATAAACAAGCCACCGTGGGCGACACGAATACAAGTAAGTCAATTCCCTGGTTTCTGCTCACCGCCTGTTAAAGGTCAGCCGGGCATTCTGGACTTTAAAGGACGCTCAAAGTGGAATGCTTGGAACGCCCGGAAAGGCATGGATAAAGAAGCTGCCAAATTGGAGTATATTGAAGTTGCCAAAAATGTGATCACAAAGTATGGACTTTCGTCCTGAAAGTGTCTGCATATTTTCTAATTAAATAATGAACAAGCCAGTTTTGCGAAATTTTATAACCTCTATCATCACCTTTCATGGGGCTCGCCAGGACACTTTCTACGAGTAGTGTGTTTCCGAGTCTGCGCAGTCTGTCTTGTTGAACACCTCGTTAGATCTTCAAAGCTTTTGGCACATCTTATGCATTACTAATTAATGTGTGAGTGCTTTCGCGTGGCCATTTTGGCGCTTGTAATATGTCCCAGTTTCCACGAGAGGCGTCTCCGTAGGTCGAACATCTGGAAAACATCTCTCTTCTACTTGGCTTGATAGGAAGGAGCAGCTAACTAAGATGAACGAACGAGAATGGGACGCGCCCAAGCCGTAGACCGTTATGAATGCCAGTCCTCCATAACCGCCTGCATCCGCTTGCTACCCTTAGTGTATGGGCTCTGACTGTGATCTCGTTCTCTATCTGACCTCTTAGTCTTCAGTCGTTGATGATTACTGCCTTTGCGCTCTAAGGGTCGTGGCACCCAGAGCTTTCATGCCAGGCTCACGGCTGTTTAGGATGTTAGTGGTGCTTCTCCACCACTAATGCTTCCGTGACTACCGGCCATCGATATACGTGTTCTTCTGAAGACGTTTGCAGCTGTCAGCTCCATTTTTAATGTAAATGAGCTCTATGAAAAGGCATGTCCTTTTTCTGACCGACTTCGTATTGGGTCAAGCTCAGTATCTTTATTGAAAGCTTCAAGATAGTTTTTCGCCCTTCGCTCAGTAACTTGCATAAAATTGAATCTCGTCATAATTATATGGGGCTCAAAGCCCCAAATGCATAGGTAGATGAATAACCACTGACTAGCGCTACATATGTACCCGCGTACGTGTACAGTTGATTACTTGAAGCGGCATTGCAATTGTTTCCTACCTCGCAATAGCAATGCAGCAAATCTCTGTTGCAATGCACTAGATAAGAATTACAACGCCAACCGCTCTCTACCGTCGGTCACCGACCTAGCCAGCCAGGCGTAAAAGCACAAGTCCAGCGACGCTGACGTCTTTGCTGTTGCCGGTGGTTGGCCTTCATGAAAGGCATTTCTAAGGCAGAATTCTCTTTTCACATCGTGGCAAGTCGGTGTGCCATGTTTCACGGTTTGTGATACTCCGCTTTAATGACTTGGCACAGGGCCTTAATTCGCATCCTTTAGTCTTTGCACTTCCTAAAAACGAGCTTTGGATTAGGGAAAATATCCTCTGTTGCCGCTATCGCTGACCCTGTTGTTGTGCATTTCATTTTTATCAATAGGCCGAAGAAGACAAATTCACGTCCCCCATGATGCAGTGCTTGTTGCGTACTCGTCGTGCTGTCTACAGTGAGATTCACATCTCATTGCCCTTTAGTGGTGATTCCTGCCAAATGCAGCCGATGTTTACCGTCGTCCAGAAATGGTCCTCCTAAGCAGGAACTGACTCCCCCCCCCCGGATTTCGTCTATTCGTACCTGTTTAGCCGCTAGTGTCGTGGCTAGAATAATCAACTGTCATTTCAATGGTGACACTCCGCGGCCTAGGTAACGATGGCCAACAATACTTACGTCTCGCGTGTGCTACAGGGATTTCCGTCATCCTTGCTCTCGACGGCGATCCATACTCAAGTTGGCACATGATAGAAATCAGTGCCTGGGTCAGTAAAACTTTCGAATAGAGTTTCACTTAGGTCGTCGACGGAGCCGGGCGCATTTCACCACTCCCTGTTGTTCGAGTGTTGTGTCGAAGATCGCAGCTTTCCGATGCGCAACCCTCGCGTCAATTTCATTTGTATCTTCCCATGACGCATTTACTATATAGTTTAACCGTAGTTTGGGCATTTAATTGAGTGTGGGCCGCCGTCTGTCTGTGTCAGTGGTTATGAAATTGAATTGCACATTACATTCTCAGCGAACTGAGAGCTGTCCTAACCATCCGCCAACTGTAATTGCTCTACGATACCATAAAACATTCTGTCATTGATGTTCGTGGGCAAGGATAATCACAGAGGACCGTACTGGAGGCGTACACCGAGTGACCGATCTTATGAAATGTTAAAGGAAATTCCGAAATGCGTTTTCGATTAGGAAGGATTACTTAAGTGGCGTTGTAGTGTTAATTAGCTTGTGGCCTACTCCCGTTGTTTTTCTGACACACCAGAGTGTTGACTTTTGAATGCGCTTCTTTTCGGCTGTCTTCAAAAACCTGCCTGGGTAAAAATGAATACTTATTGAGCGTTTTCGCTGTCGAGTTTCGATGCCCCTATAAGTCCAAGAATATTTGCAGAAGACATGCACAAACAATATTCTTGTATTCATTTGGGACCGAGACGTCTTTTTTAAGTTTTTACCTGAAGATAGGGTGTCTTTCGGTTATGTGGCTTTTTAAGGATATGCAATGTCCATCTGAAAAGCATCGTATCTGTTTAATAATGCTCCTAATTCAGTGTACAACGCATTCTACACTTGTTACAACATTTTATAAGCCAACTATGACATTTTCTTATTGGCATAAAAGTGTGCATGGTTTCCTTTACACGAAAAATGCACAGCCTGAAGACTGAAAACCCTAAGAGAAAGTGCAACGGCCGATCGAGTTCAAAACTACTTTGAAGTTGGAAAACTTGTTGTAAAACTAATAGATGCTCATTCTTCAAGTACGAAATTTGAAGAAGGCATGATTTCCTACCAACCGAGTACAAGAAATAATATTTTGAAGGTCTTCTGTACAATGTATTTTGACTTACAAGGGATTCCAGTATCGACATTTTTACTGAGTGAGGTTTTTTCCAGATGAACAGAACGAAGTGCATCCGAGAGTCAACACCCTGACGTGTCTAAAATACTACGGCCCCAATAAATTCTGCTGTACATGCCTGTTTTCAATCCCCATTTAAGTCTTCTTCCCAACCGAAGGGGCATTTCAGAATTCCGTCTAACATTTCATGAGATCGGTCACTGGCTGTATGTTAACCAGGTGGGAGCCGGCCTTAAAGTAGTTGTATTGGCGGACAGAGCGAAGTATTTTTTAGGGTTACAAGATACCATACTAGCAACAGGGGTACCCACTAAAAGCCCAGACGTGCGTGTTTCGCCGATAGTCACAGTCCCAAATATGCGCCATTATGGACTCAAGGCATAATGTCATTATCCGAGGTAATGTGTTGGCGAAATTTTACCCTTTGGCTGAATTGACGTAACGTAGAATTTTTGAGCATTTATCACACTTTTGCGCTGGTCAGCCCAGTCACTAACATGCCGCAGGTCTTAGACAGTTAGGGTCCCTTATCTGAACTAAAATGTTACCACAAGCAAGAGACGGTCGTTAAAAATTACAGGGTACATTTAATAAGTTCTCCGCACATGTGTGAAGTAGCAATTGGTCTAGCACTGGGCACCGGGGAAGATCAATGTGAACTGGCAGTTCGGGCGGCATTCCAACGGCCTATTGATGGGGAAGTTCCTAATCCAACAAAATACTCTGTTGGCAAAACACGGAAATAGGACCCCCTATTCCGGGAGGTCTTCCGCTAATTTCTAGGGTTAGAGTTAAAGCTAGGGTCTGGGTTAGTGTTGCGTTTAGGACAAGGGGATGTCTACTCTTTCTTCAATTTCACTGAAGGCGGCTTGTTTAACTGGTTCCGGGGGTTCACATTCTGCGTCTTGCCGCTTTATGTGCTAGACTGTATAGTTCGACAAGCAGGCCATTATGAATCGTTCCGAAATACCAAGACTATGGAAATGACTGCAGTGAGCTGTCTGCTGAAGGTGCCTATTGTACTTGAGAGGTTAAAGGGACAACACCTTCCTTCAAAAAGCCCTGCTGACCAGAGGTTAACAGTTTGTGTCCACAAATGACCGCCAGTGGAGCTGATGGGACCGTTGTTTACGCCAACCGCTTAGGGGGGAAGAGTGACCGTCTTGTCTAAGGCTGACACTAAGCATATTGCATGGCAAGTAGCTAAATGGCAGTTAGAGGTTTGAAGTCGGGAATTCGCAAAGCGCTTTCCTGAATATCGTTCGGTTGCAGGCACTACAGACAACCAGATTAATGCGTTCTTCATTTATTTGAAGGTTCTTGGCGTATGGATTTGTTTTTTGTACTTTCCATAATTGTGGCCCCGTGGTGCAGTGCGGTAGCCCATGCTGGAAGAAATGCCCGGAGTGGGCCACCACCAAATCCACGCACTGCAAACACCCATCGACACAAGCACCCCTGGAGCTTTTGGTGATGGTCGTGGTAATCATTGTTATGCCTGTTGGAAATTTTGATGTGATTGTGGCTGATAAGTAAAGCGAAGAACAGTGGGTGGTGTTAATCATAGTAGGGGGGATTACCATAACACTTATATAGGTGATGTTATAGGTAGTGCGTTAGGGTTGAAGGACAAAGTAGTTACTCGTATAATTATACCAAATTCCAAGCTGCACAGGGCTGGCCATTCCTCGTTTACCTTTCTGCCAGTTATCATTTCCTGCTCTTGCTGCTGCTGTTTACACAGTAGCTGCGCCCCAGCAACCGTACCTGCTGGCGGTGGTTGTGTGTCATTCCCACTTCGACGACTTCCAGGTGCGAGATCGGATTTGATTGCGAATAAATGTTAATATTTGCTGCGAGGTGCTTTGGACACGAGCATTCTCTTTGGTCAGCATATCTAGTCTTGATGCTGTGGTGCCACTAAAGTAAGATGCTCATGAGGGGATATAATCAGGCTGAGCCAGCCTATGCGTTGTTCATCCCTATCTCTCTGCAGTTAAACAAATGCAAAAAGGCGGTTCAGCTGTTTTTGAGCTACTTGCTAATTGACAGGAAGAAATATTCAACTGTCCAACCGGCAACGCTGGATTCATGGGTTGGGGGTGGGGAGTTCCGTCCTACTAGTTAGTGCCAACGCTCCTATGATTGCGAATAGTTAACGAAGCGACGGAGCACTTCTTAGGACGCCTGTATTCGCTCTCCGTGCTAGTGCCGAGACGGGACAACCTCAAAGAC